TTTCACTCCACTCATGTTTTTGTATTGTTTGATGGTGTAACGTTCTGACCCGCCCCTACTGCATATCCGTGAAAAAGAGCTTTATAGCTCATCGGATTCCTCAAGTATAAAGAAATATTTGGATTATTCGTATCCAAGGTACAGCCAGGTGGCTCAGCGATAGAGCGAGCAGCTCGCAATCGGAAGGTTGAGAGTTCAATTCCTAGTTGGGGGCTGACTCAGTCCACAATCCCTGTGGGGTCGTTAAAATTAGAACCACTTTGTGGAGAAGCCTACAGTGCTTGCCCTCAAGAGAATCGAACTAAACTAAAACTAAGCAATTTTATTTGACCAGCTAAGGCCCACTGAGCTATATAGCTCAGTGATAGCAGACAAACATTCTAAATGTGGAGGGAATAACCAGAGGACCCGGAGGAAAATCCACGCGATCTCCTGCATACCAGGCGAGGTAGTTAACATCTCGCCACTGTGGTGAGTTGGTGGGTTCATAGCGCAGCACGCTAACCTCTGCAAAGACAAAAACCGAATATAAAGATCAGACGAATAGCTTTGACAGACAGTTGGGGGAAGTGCTGTTCGTGAGCACCTATGAATGCCGGCACGGCACACGAGGGGGGTGGGTGGCCAGCACCACGCCCGACCGCCTTCATATCCTCTGTGAGGATGTTTACACATCGCACCAGGTACTCATTTGAGGCTGATTAGACCTAGGGAAGACCAAGCACTGGTTCAGATAAATGTCACCTGTGTTGGCCGTGAACGGGAATCAAACTGGGTTCGCCGGGTTTGTAGCGCAGCATGCTGACCGCTGCACACGACACGCGCACGACACGCACACTCACACGCTCCAGCATAGAACGCCACAATGTTTCGTAAACGCATGCCGCCAATGTCCGGGAACAGCGCTCAAAATGTAGGACGTGACTAAAAAAAAGGATCACGCCGTCATTTGAATGGCTCGTGGAAAAAAAATAATAATACGTAAACATATGATGGTCGATCACTTCGCAGCCGGCTCTGTTCGGAGGAGGAAGACAAACATTTAAAACTGTCGCGGGAGAGAGAGGAGGAGATAGCCACTCGGCATGCATGCGCGTCTCCAAAAAGGTTGTGCAAATACGCAGAGAAGAGAAGGGACGCGCTTCGCCATTCGATGTGGCATTAGGTGGAGTAGACTGTTGAGGGAGTGCGGCTAATTTGCCAGCCAATTAAGGTAAAGGGCATGGCATTTCTAATATGGACGTGGGAAGCCGAGAAGAGCCAAAGCTCCCAATAGAGGAATGAGTCACACCTGGAGAACAATGGGGTTCAGACTGCGTCTGTGTGATAGAATGCCTGAAATTCCATAATTAAGCCCGCCCCTCCGCCGCACAGAAGCCCCAGGTTCAGCTGTTCAACCAACGTGACATGGAGTGGGATAGGCATTGTATGTATGCAATTATGCTGAACTTCTTTCGCGCCGTACGTAGCCAACCGTGCTAATCGGAGGTGCACATCATTAACTGAATATTAATGATGCGAGTAAACGCACTTTCCACATAAGGTAGAGGATGCTACTATGGCATGATGGTTATCGGACTGAGCTCGCAAGTTGAAACTAAATGCAAGTTTGTTAAATCCCCCCCCCCGCCGCCCGCTGCATCCGCCCACCCCGCAGTATAAAGTTAAAACGGGCACGACCGCAGTTAGTCGATCGGTGGGCAGTGTGCGGTTGGGTGAAGTTGTGATGTGCAGGGTGATGTGCAGGGCTGCACCTTCACCCTTACTCCTTCCGTATAAGGCATAGATAGATGTATGTTGAACTCCTTTAGCACCGGACACGGCCAACCGTGCTACATCGGCCGGGTTGGGTGGGGACAGGACAACAAACTAACGCACAGAAACGCAGCTCTAAAGAAATGAGTTTGTCAATCGAGACGACGACGACGACGATGATGATGATTTAAAAGTGCACAGCTTCCAGTGCCTCCCTAATATCGGAAGTAAGAGCGTTCCAGACGGCCGCAGAAGCGGCGTCCGAGAGCACGTGACGCGGCGGCCCGACGCATCAATGGGCAGCGAGGGGACGAACGTCCGTCGGTGCATCGACCCACCCTCCCCCCACCCCCCCCCCCGTACACACACACACACACGGTTGTCGCTGGCCTGACGTTCGTTCGCCAAGGCCGGCCGCGAAATGACGACTCTCTTCGTAATGACCTCCAACGCCCCGCCCACGCCACGCCCCTTTGTTTCAACTTCCGAATCCAACCGGCGACCTCTGCACTGCAAGTGTAGTGCACTGCTGACTGATTACACCCGCGGCAGCTGCCCATTAAATCAAAACCCCTATGAAAAGACTTGTGGGCACGTTACGACATCGTGACAACATCTTCTACCCCCCCCTAATGCCCAAGCCCCCCCCCCGCCGCCGCCACCCCCCACATGATGCACGCTTATGAATTCAATAAACACAGTTCCCTGCCACCTCGACCGTGTATCGCTTGCGATTGACGAACACCTGCAAAGAACGACAATAACAGAATCCCACTCCTTGGCCACTGCAATCAAACCCACTTTCGCAGGAGCAGCAGCAGTAGCAGCAGCGCCTTTACACGGCCCCGCACGAAGAAGTGCAAAAGTAATAAGCATCAATTAAGAAAAAAAAACTACAACAAAAAAACACCAATCGCGCCATCGCGTGAGTGACTTTGGCTCGCACGGGCAGCACTCGTGAAAATTGGTGGAGCACGGACTGCGATGATGCAGGGCTGTGGCGGCAGGAAGGTTCAAGTGATCTCTACACGTGGTAGGCTTTCGCGACCAATATTATTCATAATGAAGGTTTATTGGAGTTCGATCGCGTAAGTATAAACGTGTCGTAACCCTCCACCACCCGACACAGCCAATTAGCAAGGGATTTGTCACGTGTAAAAAAAGAACCGCCCGTTAGTGACTACTTCAGCCCACCGGTGTTGGATCTCTGCACCTGATTGGGTTTAGTGACGACGTCCTCCTGCTGCTGCTCGATTTAAGAGCGGAAGCAGGTGGATGGCTTCACTATCCTGGCAAATCGCCCGATGATGCTGGTTGATGTAATTACCAGCGAAACGTCGTACTACTCAGATTGTAATTGTTGTGGATTTACTCTCCAACACACCGGTGGGCTGAAGTAGTAAACTAATTGGCGTTTTGTTTACGTGACAAATCCCTTACTAATTGGCTGTGTCGGGTGGTGGAGGGTTATGACGCATTTATACTGACGCGATCTAACCCAAAAAACCTTTATTATGAAAGATAAAAGTGGTTGGGCAGTAACCTTCACAACTTCAGGTGATACGGTAAATTTCCCTCCCCACCAGCGATGGAGCAGACTTACAGTTCCACGTCGGAGTGCGTTACCTCCCGAGTACAAAGAGCACAGGTCACATCATGCAAAGTAGAAAAAAAAATGTCTCGCTACAGCGGAAAAGAGGATAACTGAAGTGAATTGCCTTGTTTGGTGCATTATCATTATTAAGCAACTGAGATCAACCGAGGCCTTTAATGTACTGGGATGACTTAAGAGATTTCCCAGCATGGCTTATTCTTTAGTTGTAATGGTCGCAGAGCAAAGGCCTAAAAAGGGCCCAAAATGCGGGGCGGCAAGCGACTAACAACGCTGCAGCGTTAACGTCGGTTGAGACAACAGTTGCCACGTAGGGGAGTTAACGCGCAAGGGGTGGTAGAAGAGTCGACGGGTGGTAGAATTGAGAGGGGGCGATCCTGGGAAAACCAGGAGAGGTGGCAACCCCAGAGGCGGGATTCATTTGAGGCCTGGCCTCGGCGCTACGGTTACAGATGAAGTGTTTTCCCATCCATTACACAAATTGTTTACGAACCCTTGGGGACCCACAGGTAACAGGAATAATGACCCTGTGGTCCCCCCCCCCCCAACGGATAACGGGATTCATGAATAACACGATGACAGATAAGAGGGGCTATGCTTCACCGGTAATGCGATGCATCATTCTGTCATTTTTTATTCATGCCGTGAGACCGTGGTGGCATCGAGTCCATTCCGTAAGGGAGATCGGGGGGGCGGAAAAAAACACCGCCTTTTCACGATTGAATCTTACAGTGAAACTAACAATTTTCATCAAGTGCCCTTTCGCATCGCCCCCCCCCCCCACTGCCTGTGTGACTTAAACCATCAGCTCCCCCACCTCATTCACATTAAACGTAAAGGCAAATCCCAGCAGAACCCCACCGTGTCTCCACAGAATAAATAAAGAAACAATATCTCGTAGTCCATTGGCTACCCCCCCCAGCCCCTAACCTGTGAGAACCCTTCAGGAGACTTCTAGTGAACACAGTAGGGGACAGTCCTCACCCGAACCAGCCCAGCCACTGAGAGTAACGCTCGCCCATGTGACAGGTCCGTCGATGTGAATGAGGAGTGGCCCCATCCAGTGATCCACCCAAGCAAGTGGCTGGAGGCAACCAGCTAGCCCCGTCACACCAGGCCTCGTCACACCAGGCCCCGTCACACCTGTCCCCATCACACCAGGCCTCATCACACCTGTCCCCGTCACACCAGGCCTCGTCACACCTGTCCCCGTCGCACCTGTCGCCGTCACAACAGGCCTCGTCACACCTGTCTTCATCACACCAGTCCCCGCCACACCTGTTCCTGTCACACCTGTCCCCGTCACACCAGGCCTCGTCACACCTGTCCCCGTCACACCTGTCCCCGTCACACCAGGCCTCGTCACACCTGTCCCCGTCACACCTGTCCCCGTCACACCAGGCCTCGTCACACCTGTCCCCGTCACACCTGTCCCCGTCACACCAGGCCTCGTCACACCTGTCCCCGTCACACCTGTCCCATCACACCAGGCCTCATCCCACCAGGCTTCGTCACACCGGGCTGCACCAGACTGAGATGATCATGGGCCCCCCTGCCCCAGGGAGGAGACACGGACCACGTTGCTGCAGCAGCAGCAGCAGCGTCGCGAGGCAGCGGCACGAGCAGGGCTCACCGGTACACGAGCGAGTCGTCCGTGCTGCAGTTGTACTGGATCTGGAACATCTTGAGTCCGCGCAGCTCATCGCCGTGCGTCCACGTCACGAGCACGGATGCCGGCATGACGTCGCTCACCGCCACGGCCTGCGCCGCATCTCCGCCGGGCGGCGCGGCGATGTCGGAGGATCCGGCGGGCTTCCCTCCTCCCGAGGCGCGGCCCTTCCCCTCCTCGCTTCCCTCGTCCCCCCCCCTGTCCCCGTTGCCGGCGCGGGCAGCACCGTCGCCGCCGCCGCCGTCGCCGACGCCGGGGTGCGGGAGGTTGATGACCTTGAGGTCCACGTAGGCCGTGGCGTGGCCCGCCGCGTTCGTGGCCACGCACGTGAAGGTGCCGTCGTCGCCGGCCGCCGTCACGGCAATGCGCAGCGCGCCGTCGACGGGCGACACGGAGGCGTGCGGCCCGCGGGCGACTCGGCGCCCGCTCGGCGACACCCACTCCACGGCGGGCCTCGGGTCGCCGCTGGCGTCGCAGCGCAGCGACGTCGCCTCGCCCTCGAGCACCGACTGCTTGAGCGTGTGGCGCGTGATGACGGGCGGCGAGCAGGCGAAGTCGCCCTCGGGCACCGACAGCACGTAGCGTCCGAGGAGCCGGCGGGGCGAGGCGCACGTCTCGAGGTCGCCGTCGAGCAGCCGCCGACGCAGCCACAGGAGCTCGCAGTTGCAGTGCAGCGGGTTGCCCCCGAGCGCCAGCACGAGCGCCGCGTCGGGGTGCGTGAACGCGGGGTCGGGCGGCACGCCGCGCAGCTTGTTCGACGTGAGGTCGAGGCGCGACAGCTTGGGCATCCGGTCGAAGGCGCCGGCGGACACGGACGAGATGAGGTTGTGCTCGAGGCTGAGCGTGTGCAGGTTCACCATGCTCTGGAGGGCCGCCCAGGGCACGCCCTCCAGGTTGTTGTAGGAGAGGTCGAGGTCTTCGAGGGTCTCCACGAAGTCCTGGAACGCGGCGTCGGCCACCGTCGCCAGCTGGTTGTTGTTGACGCGCAGCCGTCGCAGGCTGAAGAGGCCCCGCAGGTGATCGGCGAGCAGCGCCGTCAGGCGGTTGCCGTCGAGGTGCAGCGAGCTGAGCTGCGCCAGGTCGCCGAAGGAGTAAGGCGCCACCGCCGAGATCTGGTTGCGCGACAGCGTCAGGTCGACGAGGTCGGTCATGTTGGAGAAGTCCTGGGTGCCCACCTCCGACACGAAGTTGTCGGCGAGGTGGAGCTCCACGGTGCGCCGGTCCACATCGGGCGGCACGAAGAGTAGGCCACGGCGGGTGCACAGCGTGCCCAGCGACGGGAAGAGGCTCTGGCAGACGCAGCGGCTCGGGCAGCCCTGGGGAGCGGTGGTGGTGGTGCACCACGTGGAGGCACACGAGAGCAGCCCCAGCAGGCGGAGCAGCGGAGGAGGATGGGACGGGCGCCGCGTCGGGGAAGCCGCCATCCTCCTGCCTCCTCCTCCTCCTCCTCCTCGCCCTGCGCCACCGAGAAGGAGTTGAGAGGGGAGGAGGGGGTGAAGAAGATCTAAGTCTGGTGTGTGGCGGGGGGTGCGTTTGGAATTTTGAGGGTCCGTCGCGCACCACCTTTGTACGACGATTCACCAACTCCTATCGCCAAGTCACGGGGTTTTTCACGGGGTTCAATTATAATTCTGCCTGTCAGAATACCGTCCCATACACCCACCTAGTGTACCTACGTCCCCATCGATCGACCTAACTGCCTACTTGCCGAACTGGCTACATGCCTCGCACCCTGCCTTTCACACAGCCAATTTGTGTTTGGATCTTTTTTTTCTCGTTGAATATACAGAATTTCGGTTCGCGTCTCATGCAGGGGAGGTGACGGGGTGTCCTGTTTGTGACATCGGCACACATCACCGGGGAAATTAGAGCCGGTTGATTCTGTAAGGTGGCACTGGAAATATTAAAATCGTTCATTTACTCGGGGCGCGACCACATTGCCGCGCCGTCTTATTGAGCGCCTCTCGCCTTTATCGCGGGTTTGCCGAGAGCAGAGAGCACGATGGACCAGTACGCCAAGCGGTCAGCAACATGCAGCCACGCTTTTAGCGTCTTCTTATTGTTTTTCGCAGCCATTATTACAATTCGTACATTTCGGGGCCGGATCGTTGCGTGCCCAAAATCCCCAAACATCGACGGAGGAAGCAACCGTTAATATTTTAATAGATTATAGAGTCAATATGCTTCTCGTATCGAGCACGATTATTTTTTTAGAACGTGAGGGGGGAGGGGAAAGACGACGGGAGGAAATTGCAAAGAGGGGGAGAAGCAGAACAAGAAGTGTTGTGGGTTGCAGTGTGGTGAGTGGGTGAGTTGGGTGAGCGTGCGGGGTGAGTGTGTGATGGAGTGGGTGAGCGAGCGAGCTAGCTGTTGTAAGCTGCAGTGTGGTGAGTGGGTGAGTGTGTGATGGAGTGGGTGAGCGAGGGTGTTGTTATGAGCTGCAGTGTGGTGAGTGTGTGATGGAGTGGGTGAGCGAGGGTGTTGTTGTGAGCTGCAGTGTGGTGAGTGTGTGATGGAGTGGGTGAGCGAGGGTGTTGTTATGAGCTGCAGTGTGGTGAGTGTGTGATGGAGTGGGTGAGCGAGGGTGTTGCTGTAAGCTGCAGTGTGGTGAGTGGGTGAGTGTGTTGATGGAGTGGGTGAGCGAGTTGGTTGCTGTGAGCTGCAGTGTGGTGAGTGAATCGAATGGTGCGCATGAGAGACAAGACAGTCAGTGTTTGTCTGGTTGAGACCGAGTCCTCGCCATGCGTGGCGGAATAGGGGAGTTAAGTTCCCGGGAACAGTGAACCCTGGTGGTTAGTAGTAGCGATAGAAGAGAGATAAGGAGGCGACGTACGTCTGTCGGTGTAATTCTGGATTTCCTATTCCAGCAATAGCCTTGATGATGTTTGAAACAGCCATCTGCTGGCCGATGAGCAGTGACTATAATGAGGCAGTACAGCAAAGAGATTACTAAGCTATCGGAGTATGAATAGCCTCTCGTAAATATGTGGACGTATGTTGAACTTCTTTCGCACCGTACGTAGCCAATCCGCGCCGGGGAAGGGTAACAAACGAAAACACAAAAAAGCAGTTCTAAAGAAAGGAGTTTTCGATTTGGATTTAAAAGTTCACAGCTCCAGTGGCTTTCTCATATCGGAAGGAAGAGTGTTCCCGAAGCGCATCTGAAAGCGCGCGATGCTTCGGCCGTCTCGGCGGACAAAGGCGCAGCCCTGAAAGTGCTCGCTCGCAGCATTGCTGGAGGGTATGTTGGCCAACTCTTCCACACGGACCAAATCTTGTCAAGGAGAGGGCGAGCATCCACACGTCACCCCCACAACGCGCGCGACCTGCCCATCAGCCGACTGCGCTCGTACCCGTTTATAACGCTGGGTGGACAGGGGTGGTGGGAGGGAGGGGGGGGGTTAAGAATCTCGCACCGTTGCTTGAACTGAGATTGAACCGGCCACCACTGACTGGATTATTGCAAGTGCAGCATGCCGACCATTCCGCCGCGGCAGCATTGCTTCTTCTTCTCTTGCGCGCATAAGAGAGAAAAAAAAAAACATTTTCACGGGGTGCCACAAAGTATCACCTTTGTGCGAAGACTTTCACTTTCGGCGTTCGCGAGTAAATGCAATTAAATGGTCAGGTGTCGATAAGCCGCATTGAAACGATCGCAAATTAATTCAAGCGTGTTTCATCTAAGTTTTACCAAAGACGACATTTGTATATATATTTTATTTTTTTATTTTATTTAATTACGAATGCCAATTGTTCGGCAGAGCGTCGAATCACCGCGCTGTAACCACCGCCCATGAAACGTGGCACCAAAGTAAAAAAGCTGCAAATGTCGGCAAAATCTATCACAGCCAAACAAAACGCAGCCCGGAGAGCAAATGGAATTTTGTGGTGCAAAGCAGCACGGCACGCACAAAAAAAGCTGCCAGCCTTACGCAGACCACCAGCTCAACAGAACTGAATGTGTGGCCCTTCTGGCGGAGAGAAAATTGCTCGCCGTCCGATTTCTTACCGCTCTTGACGAAAGAAGTCGTTTGGGCGAATGATCACGCACCCGCAATAAACGCCTCCGCACCTTCCACCTCGATCTCTACCCCGCAGTCCCACCCCCACCACATGAAATCGGATGACAGAGCTTTGCACTCCAGTGGTGACCGAACCGCTGGTTCTGTGCACTCTAGATTGAAACGTCATTTGTTTAGAAATGTTTTTGTGTGTGTGTGTGCGCGTCTAGTACTCTAGTTTGTTGTCTTTCCCCCCGTTCACCACGTCAGAAAGTTGATGTTTGCCGAATGCGACGTCAAAGAAGGTCACGCCACATCGCGCACGTTCAGATGCGCTTCTACGGCCGTCTGGAACGCTCTTGCCTCCGATGTCAGGAAGCCACTGGAGCTATGCACTTTTAAATAATTTAAAACCAAAGAGTATAAATAATTTATAGTTAAAACTTATTTATTTGGAAATGCTTTTTTGTGTTTTAGTTTGTATGTCCTTCCCCGGCACCTCCAATGAGCACGATTGGCTACGTACGGTGAAACAGAAGTTCAACATACTGTTCATACATTCAAGGAGTATAAACCATCACGTAAATTCCGGTCATCCTCGCAGCTGTTTTGGCTAACGCATCGAACAAAGACGGCGGTCACCGCATCGCGGCGCTTTCAGATGCGCTTCTGCGGCCGTCTGGAACGCTCTTCTCGCCGATATTAGGAAGCCACTGGACCTATGCACTTTTAAATCGTCTAGTTTTAAAACTAATTTCTTTGGAAATTCGTTTCGTGTTTAGTTTGGATGTCCTTCCCCCGCACCTCCGATTAGCACGGTTGGCTACGTACGGTGCGAAAGAAGTTCAACGTACACATGCGTGCGTGCGTGCGTGCGCGCAATCGGCAGCCCAGGCTGCGCGTGGATGCGCTGATCGCGGCGCGTTTACGCACGCATGGAGGGAGGGGGCTTGCGCTCCACCGAGAGCGGCGTCATCCACGGAACGTCATCGACACCGGTGCACAATGGATTTTTAAACAAAATATAAGAAGCAACGACGACGATGATGATGATGATCATGATAATAACGATCGTCAAAGTGGAAGAAGTGACATTTTTTTTCAAGTACGGTGGCGTTTTGTTTGTTGTTTATTCCATCCTCCTCATCCTCCTCCTCTTCCGCACACTTTTTCTACAAAGACGTAATTATGAATCTCGTCTACGCGCTAATTGCGAGCCTTTGGCTTTGTCGGGAACATTTTAATTAGTGCGTGCGCTGGGAATTGGAATTGGACCATCCCGGCTGACGGGGGAGCGTGGCTGCTCGAATGCATTAGCCTCGTTCCTTGTGTCACGACGCCCTTCCACAGCCAGACTTTACACGCAGCCTTATCCACAGTCACTCACAACCATCACTCTGTATTCATACCGGAGGAATTCCGATGAGCTATAAAGCTCTTTTTCACAGATGTCCCGTAGGAGCGGGTCAGCGCCACGCCAACGTCTCTCCTCATCGTGGTCTTCTGCTCAATGGCCAGGCCCTTCGCTCAAACTCCTCCCACGTCGCCGATATTCAGCTCTCTTCTTCATTTCACTGAATGTCCTCCCCCCACCCTGCACCCCCCCCCCCCCGGATCCTTACTTTCTACCAATCTTCCTTCCTTCCTTAAAGCTGCCAGGCAGCATATACAATGTTCTTGCTCTTGGCCTGTTTCCCAACATCCTTCCAGTGCTTTCCGAACTTAATTAATCAAGTGTTCACACCTCTGGGGAATTTGTCCAATCAACATGTTTTAAAATCTTTTCCGGATCGTTCAAATTCAACTTCACCCCCCGCCACACACAACCTGCTCTGGAACGTCCTAATTTCTACTTCTCTTCATCCAACTGATTTTTTTTCCTATCGATGCCACAACCCTCGCAAACTCAAAATTTTCCAATTTCATCATGTCTTCCATTCTCACAGTCCAAGTCTCTGCTCCATGAAACACGACTCTCCATACCAAACTGCACTCCCCCATACCACACTACACTCCATACCACACTGGACTCCATACCACACAACACTCCATACCACACTACACTACATACCACACTACACTACATACCACACTACACTCCATACCACACTACACTCCATACCACACAACACTCCATACCACACTACACTCCATACCACACTACACTTCATACCACACTGCACTCCATACAACACTACACTCCATACCACACTACACTCCATACCACACTACACTCTATGCCACACTACACTCTATACCACACTACACTCCATACCACACTACACTCCATACCGGGGACTTCACGAGTCTCATCTTGCACCGTCCGCAGACGATGTGATTAAGAGCGAGGAGCCTGTGATGTTCATTGTCTCACAGAAGGCGACCGCGGTGTGTACGCTTCCTCAACGGGGTCTGCGTAATCATTCGCCCGACTCGAGAACGAACG